GCACCTCTTCCTCGAGGGCTCCTCTGGCCCTTGGACTGAGCCCAACCAGCCATTTTCCCAGGCTGGGCGAGGCCGAGCTGGAGCAGGGGCCGGGGCCAGCCCTGAGGTTTGGCTGCCTTTTCCCCCTATTAAACAGATATGCAGATGAATGTGTTTGGGACAGCAGTCTTACAGGAGATTCTGGTAACAACACTGAAGCCGGAGGAGTACCTATCCTCCCCTTTCTGAGTTGGGGCTCGCTCAGCTGCTGCTGCCCGCCCACCTCTCCTTCTGCCACCCACATCCCCAAAGTAACTTTTCCCATGACTCACACGGCAGCTTGTGCACTTCTTTTATTATTAAATATATAAAGCAGCTTCCTATTTTTTAAATAGATATTTAAATGACTTTATATAAAATAATTCACCACTTCCAAGTATAAAAACGAAATCTCACAGTACGTGAGCCAATGTTCCCTCTCGGCTTCCTTAGAATAAAGAAGAGGTCCCTGTGCAGGTAGCTGGGGGACACCCAGAGGCGGCTCTGGGCTCCTCCCATGCTGGTGTCACCAAGCGCCCACAAAGAGCTTCTGCAATGGGGTGGATTCGCTGTTCAGACTTTTACAATACTACACATTTAAGGTGCAGGGGGAGGGGAGGAATGCCTTTTTTCTGTGTTTTTTTTTTTCTTCCATTATTTAAATACATGTTTCCTAGCATCAAATATAGAGTCCGTGACTAGAAGGATAAGCCCCACATGGAATTTTCCACAGCCCTTCTCTTAGTTATCACACCAGGACAGGGTCGGGGGTGGGCAGCGGCCCCCACTTTCTTGGGCAGGAAAGAACGGTCACAGGCCCAGTGGCCAGGTAGGGCAGGGTCTCTCAGTAGAGGGCCCAAGTGGCAGGAGAGGGACACAGCAGCACATAGGGACCAAGGGGCACTGCCCATTGTCTCCCACTGCCCAGGTCTCAAAACCTCTATCTCCTGACTACTCCCCCACCCTGGCTTCCCTGGACAGAGATGGGGAGGGGGTGAGAGCTGGGGGGACTGGGGAGAAAGAAAGGCCAGAAGAGGGAGGGAGTTGGGTGCCAAACAGGTGGGGCTGGAGTGCGGCAGCCCCAGGGCTCCTGGCAGGGACGACCTGCTCAGGCCCAGGTGCCTGCCATGGCAGGAGAAGGAGACTGGGCTGGGGGGGCACAAATGTGACCTCTCTCCCCAGTCTCAGAGGCACACCCATGTTTCAAAGACCCATTTGCAGTCAGAGCTCTCCCTGGCCCCTCTCTGCCTCTGCCCTCCCTTCCCTTCATCCCTCCCACTAGTCACTTTCTTCTTGGGAATGTCAAAGTGCAAGATGCAGAAACCTGGGTGAACAGCACAGCCTAGAGACCGGCTCTGGCTGGCAGCCCGGGCAGTTCTCCCACTCCGCTCCACCCTGGGGAGTCAAAGGCTGGGTCAGGAGGAGGTCAGGGCTTAGGGGCTCCCTTAGTCGTCAGGTGAGGCCAGCTCAGCGCAGGAAGCCGGGGAGTGGCTGGATGGGTGGGAGGATGGACGGATGGATTCAGCAGGCAGGTTCAGTCTTCACAGTGCAATGGCTTCCTTGATGAGCGGAGCCTCTGCCCGGCCTCCTGGAGAAGCTCTGGCAGGGGGAAGAAGAGGCAGAGGCCAGAGGTGGGCCCTCCTTTGGCATCATGAGCCAGGTCGAGCAGGTCCCGAGGGCAGGGCAGGCCTTCCTCTTGGCCTGGCAACTGGCAGAGGGCACTGATGCGCAGGGAGTTGCTTCACAGTGCAATGGCTTCCTTGATGAGCGGAGCCTCTGCCCGGCCTCCTGGAGAAGCTCTGGCAGGGGGAAGAAGAGGCAGAGGCCAGAGGTGGGCCCTCCTTTGGCATCATGAGCCAGGTCGAGCAGGTCCCGAGGGCAGGGCAGGCCTTCCTCTTGGCCTGGCAACTGGCAGAGGGCACTGATGCGCAGGGAGTTGTAGACCCTTTGGGCTGTCAGCAGACTAGCAGGCCCAGAGGCCTTCTCTTCCCGTCTTCTGGGCTGCACGCCTTTACGGGAAATCAGGCCGACGCCGACCCGCCCTGCCAATCTCAGGCTTCTCTCTCCAGAGACAGGTCCCTGCCTGTCAATGTTGGGATCCCATGGCATCAGGCGGGTCCTCTGGGCGCAGGGCTCATCCACTTCTCAGGCCTCCCCTGCTCTCCCTCATGCTTCAGGTGCCAGAGGGCATGGAGGAGAGTGAGTGAAGGGAACAGCCCTGAGGGAGAGGGTCCTGAGCGGGGCTTGCAGCCTTCTTCAAGCGTGGGAGCCTCCAGGGCCCACAATAAATAGTGGCAGCGAGGGGAGGGGGGGCATCCTCCAGCCCTCTCTCAGTCAGTTGAGGGTCCCAGGGTTGAGGCAGAAGGGCCCTGGCCTGCTGCTCTAGTCCAGTGCTGGCAGACAGACACTCTGGTGGAGGCCACATTCCCAGGAGGACGGCTGGAGGGGGTGGTGGTGGACGCCCTCATAATGTCTCCTCCCATGGAGAGACTGTCTTGTGCGCCCAGCTGTAGGGGAGAGAAGGACAGGCTGGTCAGCTGAGTGGGAGTGTGGGGAGGGTTGCTGAGGGCATGGGGGTGGTGCCTGCGGGCTCTGGGCCGTGCTGCAGGCAGGATTTCCTCTCTCCTTCCTCGCCTTCCCAGCCACCCCGGCCGCCCACAAAGGAGCAAGGCAGCTTTCCTTGGCAACAGCCCAAGCCTCTGGCCAGACTGACCTCACCTCCTACCTCCTCCTGGGGAACCGGGGACCATAGGGGGAGCTCCTGGGGCCTGGTGGAGGCCCGAGCGGGGGGCCGGGGACAGGGGTTGCTACTCCAGCAGATTGGTCTGACAGGGAGGGCAGGGAGCACTTGAGTGTCCCTAGCCCTCTCCTCAGGCAAGACTCTCACTGTGGAACCGAGGGTGACTCCTCTAACTCTAGCAAAGAAGACTTCCCATTTCCACCCCTACGGGGCTCATCCCAGAAGGTCATCACAGATGATACTCTAGACAGCAGGGCAGAGGAAACTGAAGAGCAAGAACTCGGGCCGAGAGGAAAGGGCTAGAGGCAGTGCCAGGACGAGGAAGCCCCCGCCCTGCCATTTGGCACGCTTAAACCCTCAGCAACCACGCCTCCCAAATGGTCCTGGGCACTTGTCTCCTGCATCATCTGTGGGAGTCAGGGCCCCACCCCCTCTCTGCCCCACCCCCAGCCTTGTCCCCTTGCCCAGCATCCTCAGAACGCTTTGTTCCCAGAGCAGAAATCCCCTGGACCACATCCAACAGTTTGACTTTGGACCCCGTGGAGTCTCCCTCCCTAATGTCCATAGGCCCTACTGGCACAGCCCATGATGGGTAAGGAGGGAAGACAGGACCACAGCGTCTGGCTCCCAGCCCATTCCCATGCTCTGGAGAGGACAGAAGGGGGAGCCATAAACTGGACCTGAGCCATGCTAGGTACAGTCAGGCCACAGCCCTGCTAGGGGCCCAGAGGAAAGACGGACCAAGGCAAAGGCAGCCTATGGCCCCTGCCTCTTAGTTCCTTGAGTTTGAGGGTGCTGGTGTCTGAGATGTCTGTGGCTATGCATCCTCTCTTAGTCTCTCAGGCTCTGTGTCTCCCTTTGTCACCTCCCTTATCAGAGCAGAGGTCGATCTGGGGGCTGGCACTCAATCCCCCAGAGGCTCAGGGTGCCTGGCCTGTGGACCACCATATGGCTGAGCCCACTGAACCACGTAGGCCTGGGTTTCCTGTGCTGGGTCTCCTCTCCAAGTGAAATCTCGGGAGAGAGGAAAGCTTGAGATGGGCCTGAGAACAGGCAAGCAGGAAAAGAGGGGGCATATAGATGGGATGGATGGGGCAGAAGGCCAAGACCACAGGGGTGGGGAAGGCTGGCACAGCACTGAGCCACTGAAGTCCCCAGAGACTCCCTCCTCTGCTTCCCAGTCATTCTCATAGCCCTGCCCAGGCCCAAGCTCATTCACTCGCCCATCTTAGCCCACCCTACTAACGAGGCAGACCCCAGGGTTCCAGCTGTGTTAGGGCTTGCTCTTCAGTAAATAGGTTCCCTGGTTTCAAGCATTTGTCAGATCCCCTATCTCTCCAGGAGGAGCCCAGACCTGCCACTCTGTACATGGGAAGGCCCTAAGGCACTCGCTTGCATTTGGCAAAGGTGACAGGAAACCAATTGGGACAGCTTGGCTAGTTGGCCAGCCAGCCAATTAGCAAATCAGTAAGGCCATCAGCTCACCAATCAACAACTAACCAGTTAGATAGTTAGTTACCAACTAGTTAGTTAGTCGACAGGTCAACCAGTCAATCAAAGTTGATTAGTTAGTTGATTAGTTAGCTGGTTAATTGGTCAGCCAGGAGGCTGGTCACTTAGAGACAGCTGGTCAGGGTCACTGGGTACGCCCTCCCTGAAACCAGTCAGTCAGCATTTATTGAATCTGTGACAACTCTGGAGAAGCCTTCTCTGTACTAGAGCCCGGGTTGGAAAAAGAAACACTCAAAAAAAGAGAAAGACATTTCCTGCCCTCAAGGAGCTTACAATCTTCTTAGGGATGTGGAATGTACATCTACACATATAAAATAAGCTTTTAAAAATGTGTAACAACAACATCCGAATAAGTGCAAATCAATATAGTATTAACCAAATACAAAACAGCCGGTGGGGCACGAGCTGAAGGAGCAAGAAGAGGGTGGCAGAGACCATCGGGAAGGCTTCCTGATGGACGGATTGTGGCCAAGTGGGAGGAGGGCAGGAGGGCATAGGTCATCTGGGGCTAGGGAACCAGGGCCGAGGAATAATAAGGGTCACATCTTTGTAAACAATGTGGGCAAGGACAGCTCACTGATGTGTGGGAGACACAATTGGGGGGCTATGAAGATGACAGAATTAGAACTTAAAACAATTTCAATAGGCTTGGGTGATGCACAGAAACCAAGGTGGTCTTAATAAGGGTGTATATGGACTCCTGCACTTGGGTTAAAAAAGTTAAGTTGTCCAAACACAGGATGAGAAGGTCTGACGTGACACAGGTTTATGGGAGATGGAACTAGGGGTTTTAGCGACCACGAGCTCAACATATGACAACGGTATGATGCGGCTGTTAAGCTAAGGCACTCTGGGTCAGCAGGGTAGAAGAGCACTGTCCACATAAGAAGGTTACAGTCCCACTGTACTCTGAGCTGGTCGGACAACATCTGGAGTACTGTGTCCAGGGCTGGGCGCCACACTTTCAGTGGGACAGTGACAAACGAGTGTGTCCAGGATGGTGAGGGGTCTGAAAACCATATCATATAAGGAATGTTTGAGGGACTTGGCCACACTTAGCTCACAGCATACTTCAAGGGGACATGAATAACCGACCTTAAACATAGGAGGGAGGGCCGGTGTGGAGGGACAGGGAAGCCAGTTTTGACTCACACGAGGAAGCCCTTTCTCCCAATGCTATTTGAAGGTGGCATAAACTGTGACTAGACAGGGAGGGAGCTTGCCTGGAAGTGGGAGAGTATGACCAGAGCTGGTTGACTCCCTGCTGGGGATGCCGAGAGGGGTGGGCCCCCTGAGGTGGGATGCCGGGCTCCAATTCTAAGGTTCTCTGGCATCATGATTCTAAAAACAGGGGGGTAGAAATGACCTTGGCTGGGAGTGGTGGAGGAGAGCCAATGGGGAGCAACCTGGCAAGAGCCACATGGTCAGGCATCTACTGGATGGGCTTAGAAACCAAGCTAGGGGTGTGGGGTTTGAAGTGGCTGGCCACGCAGAGCTACTAAAAATTCTCCAGGAGGGCAAAGACTGTATTAAAGCCATCTGCGAGAAGAGGATTTTGGTTGGTTGAAGGTGGCAATAAGACTAGATACCCAACGTAACAGAGCTTGGCCTCAGAGGTGGGGAGGGACTGCAGTGGCACAGGAGATCTGAGGACCCAGGAAGGAAGGGGCTGGTTGATTCTGGTGATGGGTGGAGAAGGGAGTCGGAGAGGAGGGAGTCAAGAGTCTGGGCCTCAGGGCAGTGGTGGTATCACCAGTCAGTGGGGTGAGTGGAAAAGGGCGTAGCTCATTTTAAGTGGGGGAGAGATCCAAAGGAGAATCTTACCTTAGAATTCCCTCTACACTGGCAGTTCCATCTGTCTGTCCTCCTCCTGGGTCAGGGGGCTGCAGGCAGAGCACAGGGCTGCCATAAGACTTCAGTAGGGGCAGGGTTTTGGGTGGCACCCTAAGTTTACCCCCAGCCTCAGAGTTAGAAGACCTAGGACTTCCAACTCTAGGAAGAAATCAGGAAAAGGCCCAGATATCCAGGACAAAGGCGAGGCCCTTGCTCCTGTCGCCCCATCTGAGCCTACAGCTCCATTTCCTCAGAGTAGGTAGGTGAAGGCCTCCCCCGGGCTGCTGAGGCAGAGGGAAAACAGATTCCAAGCCAGGCCCCAGTGCCTCCCAGAACCCCACCCAGCTCTCACCTGCCCTCAGGCTGCTCCCTGGAAGAGTCCACTGTCTGAGGCTCTTGATGGCTCTGGAGATGGGAAGAGCAGACCCACTGAGAGTCTGAGGGAGGGCTGGGACAGTAGCCCCATCCCCAGGCCAGGCTGCCCCAGGTAGTATTGAGAGTTGCAAAAGTCCCCACAGGTATCCAGAAGTGGAAATTAGCCAGAGGGCCAGGGGAATCCAAGTGGCCTCCCTGATGCCTTTGCCCCAGCTCCTCTGCCCACTCCCTGCAGGCCATCTCCTAGTGACCTGCAGGCCCCGGGCTCTGTGGAGCTCCAGTGTAGCCCCGCCCTGATGCCCTCACACAGCGGTTCTCTCCTCCTTGTCCCCTCTAGCTGTTGTCATCCTGCCGTTGGCCCCGTTCCCTTCTGCACTGGTCCCTTCCCACTGCCTAGAGAGTCTGAGCCTTTCTGATTCTCGAAGCAACATTCCCTTCAGCCTCAAGCAATCAACTCAGTCCCTCAAGAACCCAGGCTGGACCTGAGTCGTCCTCCCACCTGTACCCCTGCCAGACTCTGCCCCTGCCCACCACCCCCTCCTGGAGTCTCCTTACCCGCCGCCTCCGCCTGTAGAATAGGAGGCCACCGACAGCCAGCAAGACCAGGATGATGCTGGGCACCAGCAGGTGGAAGACAAACCCTGGGAGCAGGGGGTCGGAGGGTCCCACGTACTGCCTCTCATGGCCTGTGTCAGTCAAAGGAACCGAGTTAAAATGGGTGGGGGGCCTGGCCGCCCGCTCACTTGCTCGTCCTCCTTCCAGCTCTGCAGGGCTCCTCCGATCCCTGGTGCTCCTCTTGCCCTCCAGCTCCATGAGGGGCAGCACGTTGCCCCAGGAGGGGCTTCTGGAAAGCCTTGGCTGAGCAGAGAGGGTGGAGGGCTGGCTGAGGCCTTGGGGGTGTAACGAGGAAGTCCTGAGAGAGTCTGGATCCTGGCGGTCTCTGGGCTGGGCAGATGAACGGTCTGTTTTCCCAGGGGTGTGATGCCAGGCCTGGCCAGTAGGTCTCACAGGCCCCACCTTGGGCAAGACGGTGCCAGTTACATCTGATGGCCGTCGGTCCTTTGCTGATGCCGGGAGCAGAGAAGATGCTGAGAGGAGGTCGCTGGGTCTGGCAGTCTCTCCTTGGATGATGCTCCCTCCCAGCTCAGAGGGAGAGGGCTCCGTCCCTTGGGGTACAAGACCCTCTTGAGCCTCTCCAGATGCCTCTTCTAGAGCCCAGTCAGGACCCAGTGCAGAATCAAGAATGCTCTCAATCTCAGGGACAGTGGACGCCACAGAGGGGAGATGCTGTGGTGAGTCGCTGGTGGGGCTGTCCTCGACACCTGGGGTCTCTGGTGACTCAAGGCTCTGGCAGGTGCTCCTAGATGGTCGCTGCTTGGCACTGCCCGGGTCCACCGTGTGAAGAGGCTGCTCACTGGGCAAGAGGGTGTTGCCCTCTGTCCCCTTGGAGTCAGCCCAGGTCAAGCCAGCCATGGGGGCTACGGAGGGGGCGAGGGGCTGGTGAGGGGAGACAGAGGCCAGGCCACTGCTAGGGGTGGCTTTGGGGTACAGGCAGTTGCAATCAGGCTTGGTCACCACATCTGAAAGAACCACAGAGAGGGAGAGAGAAAGACGGGGAGGAGATAGAGTCACCAGCCTCCAGCACAGCTTTCCCAGAGGGGTTGGGGAAGGGGTCTGGCAGGGATGGGGGTCCCCTCATCTCCTTACTCAGCCCTGGGGCTGAGGAGAGGACAGGACTGGAGTGGATGCTTATGACACAGGGCTCAGGCAGGGAAGGTGCGACTTGCAGGGTCTCTTGGGCAGAGAGCAGAGAGCAGGGTTGAGATGCACAGGCTGGGGCCGGGGTGGGAGACCAGAGAACAGTCCATACTGGGGTTCTAGCTGGCCAGAGGTCAATCCAGGGGTGAGCGTCCAGGCCAGGAGATTGAGCAGTGGCCTCCCAGATGAACACAAGACACCCTCAAGCCCCAAAGACACTGGTTTCATGCACAGCCAAAAGCCCCATAGCCACAGCCATGGGCAGAGACAGACCAGGGCCATGATTGGAGCTCTGGAGACGGAAGCGAGACCGGACTTGGCCATTGGCAGGTTGCAGGGCCTCAGCCCTGCCGTGGAGAGCAAGGTTGGACGGAGAAGGGCACATGTGGCACAGGACGCAGAGACGAGGACACGCAGAGTGCACATGTATGCAGCTGAGCCAGCACTGGGACAGTTTGAACGATGCTCAGACTTCACATCCAGGCTGGTCCCTTGAGGGGACACCCAGGGCATCCTGGGACTTCTGGAGCCAGAGTATCCTGGTGATTCGCAGCAGGGCTCCTGGACCCTGGCTCCTAGATGGGGCATCCGCTGTCTCCACAGAACCCCCCATACGTTCAGCCAGCTTGCAGAACCCGTAGGGAAATTTTTTTGGAAAGCCTCCGTGCCTACAGGGCTCTCCGTGAGGGGCCCTGATACATTCCCTAACCTCACGGGCACCAGCATGAGCCTTCTTGATGCTTCCACATGCAGACATACGTAGGTGTGCATGCACACACATGTCAGAAAAGACATGTGCTTGGACCCTGGGGTCATGAAGCCACATATGTACACAAAACGGACAGGTCTACACACACAGGAGCACGAGCAGCAGCAGCTAGCTGCCTCCTGGGGGGCCCTCCAGCCTGCCCCATCTCCCCTGCCAGCTCCCCACACACACACCCTCCCCTGCTACCCACTCACTGGCCCTTTTGGTGCTTACCTTGGCTGGAGCATTTAGCAAAGCTGTTGTTGCAGTTCTTGCTGAAAATATTCCAGTCCTTTGTAAGGAGATTCTTGGTTTCATTAAAGACATTCTTGATCTTCTCCAATAGCTGGAGGGGTGTCTCATAGAAAGTTCGGACACAGGCCTGGAAGGGAACAGGGCCTTCTTTGGTGAGCATGACCACTGGCCCCATGTCTATTCTGTTCATCAAATTCCTCGGCCTTTCTCACTTTCGTATTCTTTCCCCTTATTGTTTCCACCCTTGCCTCTGCTCTGGTTTACAGTGGAACCAGTTCCGAGGTTGTGAGCCCTGTCATTTATTCATGGATCCATTTGGTGGCTATTTATATGCCAGACACATGGTCATTAAATCAGATAATGCAACGAACAAGAGAGAGGTGCTTCCCGGCTGAGCTGGACACGGAGCCCTGCAGGGGCACTGGTGCAGGAACTGAATGAGGCTTCAGAGAGAATCTCCCCGAGGAGCCCACTGAAGGGTGAGCAAGAGTTACCCCGGAAAAGAGGTGAGATTGGAGAGAGTTGGGTAGGCTGTAAGGACAGACAGCATGGGTCAAAGGTCCTGAGGCAGGGAAGAGCATGAAAGCTCCGAAGACTGAAAGGAGGCTGGTGCCACCGCAGTACTGCCTTCTAGGAGGAAAATGGGGAGGGACGGGGCTAGACAGAGCTCAGCAAGGGCCAGGTCCTGCAGGGCCTTGCTGGCCATGTAAGAACGTTTCCTTTTCGCCGCACAGCAAAGTGACAACACCAGGAGGGTGAGTGGGGAGATAGGCAGTGGCAAGGTAAGAATTAAGTTTTAGAAAAAGCATTTTGCCAGGGGACAGAGAATGGCATGGGACAGGCCACAGGGGATGTGGGCTCTTGGTCAGGATTGCTGTGTCCTGGAGGGAGGGCTGGGACACCCAGTCCTGTCCACTGAGCTTGTCTCGTCTCTTCTCATCACAGGGCCCAGGCTCCCCACACCCCCTGGAGCTGAGAAGCTTCCCCCTCCTGGATTTCCTCCCACCTCTGGAGCTGCTCCTTCTCAGCCTCCTCCTGGGCTCCCCTCTTCCTTTGACTTCTAAATGCTGGCCTTCCTCAGGGTTCAGCCCTGGGCCCACTTCTCTATGCCAGGCCATGCCACCCATGCCCCCCACGTCATCTCTGACCTACTTGCAATGGCAAGGTTTTCCTTAAATTGAGCTATCCAGGGCAAAACTATGGGCTCCACTGGGCTGTGAGGTCCTGAAGGGCATTGCTGTGTCTTTGGCCGTGCAAACAGTAGGTCTTTAATAAACGTGATCAGGGCAGTGGCCTGGGCTTTCAGTGAGAAACCCAGGCTCAGCTCCATCTCTGCCAGTGGGGTGCCAACGACTACACTTTGTGGTGTGGGCTTATCTCCTCATCTGTAGAGTCAAAATAATAACCCTGCTAGCCTCCGAGACGCCGGGGCGATTATAGGACAGATGAGCTGGCCCTCTCTTGCCATCATAAACCTCCCTCATAGCTCACCTCATACGTCACAGGAATCATCAGACACAGGGCCCTGACGACCACCTCTCAACGGAGGATGCACCTTCCCTCCTAAGGAGCTCTGGATCCCTCCCCGCTGTCCTCTCAGGGGACTTTAATGATTAAAGTTCATTTATTTCTTTCTTCCATTAATGAGAGAGAAAGAGACAGCACCCCCAACAGGATCTTGATCCTGCTATCCACCCCCCACCTCACCCAGCCCCCATCATGGGCATGTACATGTCCGGCCTACTCAGGGAGATTGCCAGATGTGAGCCCGGAACCTTTCCAGAACCTTCTCCTGTGTGTCAGCCTCAAAGAGTGTCCAGTTTTTACCACTGCACCACCATCTGGCCTGTCTTCTTAGGAGACTCTTGTGGGGGACTAGCTACTCTGGCTTGAAGCTCCTCGGCGTCCCTCCCCCTGGAGCTCACCCCTCGGTATTCACATGTGTTCTATGGAAGGAAGACATATCACTATCAGTCATGGGTGGGGTGGATTCCTGGGCCATGCTCAGACCCCGGGAATCAGCATCTGGGGCTG